CTGGCACTAGGGAAATGTCCAGAGATATACATGAGTGACCCTAACTAACGATCTAAGCAATAGTGGAGAGGCTACCTTGAATGCCCTTCTACTATAATGAGATTGAGTATTACCTTATATGTCATCCTAGAGCCTTCATCTAGTAGCTGATAGAAGCAAAAGCAGACACCCACAGCTAAACATTGAGCAGAACTCCTGAAATTCAGAAAGGGAGGGGTGATGAGCAAAGGGGTCAAGACTAGGCTGGAGAAATCCACAGAAACAGCTGATCTGAACAAGAGGGAGCTCATGAACCCCAATCTGAGAGCTGGGAAACCAGCATAGGACTGTTCCAGACACCCTGGATGTGCGTGTTAGTTAGGAGGACTGGGCTGTCTATGGGGCCTCTGGTAATGGGTCAGTATTCATCCCTAGTATAAAAATGGACTTTGGGAGTTGAGACAGGAGGGAGGGCCTAGACCCTACTCCAAATAACTTTACAGATTTTGAAAATTCCTCCTGGAAGGCCTCATCCTCTCTGTGGAGTGGGTGGGGAATGGGATGAGAGTGAGACTAGGAAAGGGGGGGGGGTTGGATCATGGAAGGATGGGAGGGATAGGGAACTGGGATTGATATGCAAAATATGGAGAGAGAGAGAAAAAAGAATGGACTTTGGGAGCCCTTCCCACATAGAGGGATACTTTCTCAGCCTTAACACATAGGGGAGGGCCTGGGACATGCTCCAAATGATACAATAGACTTTAGGCCTTTCCTCCCTGGGGAACAGAAAAGGGAAGGGATGGGATTTGGAGGGCAGGCAAGGAGGGGAGCGTTGGAGGGTGAGGGATCTGGGATTGACATGTAAAACAAGCTTGTTTCAAATTTAAGTAAAACATATTGTCATAAAAAATGGCAAACAAAATAATGGAAAAAACAAAGCAGAGACTTCAGCAAACACTGAGTTCTTCAGTGTACCACTTGTGAATAGAATCCGAGTACTATGATAAAGAAGTATCCTGCTATATTTATTTAGAGCATTTAGCTTTTCAAAGGAATCTATGTAATGAAAGATGAGAAGCAGGTGTTTCTTCCCATATTGTAGATTAATAAGGTAAGTTTGACACAGGCAAGGGGTTTGCCAGCATGTCCAGATATATTCTTCCTTGATAAGTAAGAGTCATGAAAAGTTAGTTCTTTGCTCTTGTCCTTCTCAGTCTTTACTGCACATCTGAATGAGATGGTGGAGGATTAAAAAATACTCCTAGAGACAGGACTTCTCTTATTCTCTTTTAAGCCCTCAGTTTTTAAGCCTTCTGATTGTAACTGGAGCTCCATGTCTCTAGATCAAACTCATATAAATTCTCTCCAAGGAAAGATGGGTTCAACACCAAGACTCCTGTGACAGGTGAACATGGCTAGTCACAAGAGATTGGGGGAAACATTGGGAGGATTGCCATGTTTCTTGTTGGAACAATGCTTTAATAACTAAACCCAAGAAGTTTTAGCTGTAATGTAACATCAAAGCCCCCTTTAAATGTAGAAAGAAGTAAAAACCAAGGAAGATTCCCATAGGGGCTTACATAATAATAACAAAGAATGTTTAGCTATCTTATCAGTAACAAAAACATATTCATAATAAATAGTTTAAAATGATCTATTACATCTGTAAAGAGCTATGGTTTTGGTGATTTTACTCACCATCATTTGGAAATTCAGATCTTCAACTCAAGGCTGATGAGTACTACAAGATCCTGATTATGGATGTGTTAATGCAATTAGTAGATCTAGACATGCTGGCAAATTGCTCACCTGTGTCAATCTTACCTTCTACAATATAGAAAGAAACAATACTTGCTTCTCATCTTTCAGTAAATAGATTCCTTTGAAAAGCTGAAAGTAGTGAATAAATATAGCAGGATGCGTCTTTATCATAGTACTCAGATTCTATTCACATGCGATGCATTGAGGAACCCAGTGATTTCTGAAGTCCCTGCATTCAATCCTATTATGCTACTTCATAGAGCATAGGATGCCCTAGTTTCCTATTTTGAAATGCCCTCTTTATAAAGTTTGGTCTCACCATAGTTGTCTTTATAAGTTATCACTCATTGCACTGCTGGTTTCTTAAGTAGGGGTAGAAACTCAATTGAGTTCATTAAATGTAAAAGTAAGAGGCCTTTTGCTGTCATATCATACCACAAAGACTCTTAGTTTGGCCATAGCAGCTTCATGTGTAATACAGCTGGAAACTTGAAACAACCTAAATATCCCTTAAGTTAAAAAAAAATAAAATCATGAAATTTGAAGGCAAGCGAATGGAACTAGAAAAAAATTGTCCAAAGTGAGGTAACCCAGACTAAGAAAGACAAACAAGATATGTACTCACTTATAAGTGGATATTAATTGTAAAGAAAAGGATAAACCTAGTACAATTCACAGACCCAGAGAGGCTGGTAATGAGGAGGGCTCAAGGGGGGGGGCACATGGATCTCACCGGGAAGGGTAAGTAGAATAGACATTGTGGGGTTGAGTGGGTAGGGGAAACCAGAACCAGAGGGATCAGGTAGGGAAAGGATGGAGGGAGAAAATACTTTTAACAGACAACTGGAATTGGGGGAGTGGCATCTCAGGAATTAGTTAGAAACCTAGTTTAATAGAAACTCCCAGGAGTCTGCAAGGGACTTTCTAGTCTACTTACCCTTCCCAGGCAATAAAATGGTTTCAAATGATATTATGCTATACTCATAGATTGGTGCCTAGCCCAATTGTCATCAGAGAAGATTCAGCCATCAACTGAAGGAAACAGATGCAAAGACCCACATCCAACATCAGGTGGAGCTAGGGTTTCCTGTGAAAGAGGGTAAGGAGGGATCATAGGGGCCAGAGGGGTCAAAGACACCACAAGAAAACCAACAGAAACAACTAACCTAGTTTCATAGGGACTCACAGAGACTGAAGTACAATCAGGAAGCCTGCATGGGACTGACAAGGCCCTCTCCATGCACATTACAGTTGTATAGTTTGGTCTTTTTGTGGGACTCTTAACAGTGGGAGCAGGGGCTGTCTCTGACTCAGTTATCTGTTTTTTAAAGACCCTTTCCTCTTACTGGGTTGCCTCATCAAGCCTTAATAGAAAAGGAGGTGGCTAGACTTACTGCAACTTGCTATCTGTGGGAGACCTGCCCTTTTCTGAAGAGAAGTGGAGGAGGAGTGGATGGGGGGCACTATGGGGAGGAACTTGGAAGAGAGAAGGGAGGGGAAACTGGTCAGGACATAAAATAATATTTTTTTTAAAAAAAAAGCTCATACATTCAAAAACAAACAAAAACCTCAAAACTTTTCATTATCTACAATGGACATGCAAATGGCCAATCAAAATTTTTGAAGAAGGGAAGTTTTTACTTTATTGATTGATGGACTTTTATAGGTGAATTAGCACTTGAGAGGCAGATTCAAGCAGATATCTATGAGTTCAAAGCCAGCCTGGTCTACAGAGTGAATTCCAGGACAGGCTCCAAAGCTACACAGAAACCCTGTCTTGAAAAAATATAAAGAAACGAACAAACAAAAACCTGAAACCTCATTGGAAGAGAAATAATGTACAGCTTATACAAATATGAAATAAAATAATGTAGAAAAACAAACAGACAAAAAGGCAGACATTTCCTTGGTCTTTCATACAAAACCCACGATTGAGTCACGAACTCCTCTGGTTCTATATTACAAGTCAGCAAGTTGAGTAGATGAGGCAAATTGTATACCTCCCTGAGTTTAAAAAAAAATCCTGTGACTTCAGGACAGAATGGTTTATTTGTGAAATATACGCTTGAATGCTGCAATTATTTTATTCTATGTATCACCATTAAATCAAAAAATGAAATGACATTTCTTTTTAACATATCGCTAAGTTGCCATGTGCTATAATCCAAAGACTGTATCATATGCTGTATCCCTGCAGCATAATACATTTAATTTTTGCTGTTCAATATTATAAAGTCCCTGACTTTTTAAGATGATTTCTGCATTGTGAAAGTCCCACTAAAATTAACTTTTCTATATTTAAATAAGCCGGAATTTGATTTAAATAGAGTTGCATATTTATATTTATGTTAATGTAAGACAATGATAATTAAACAAAATGAAATGTTCTAATGTAATTTTTAATCATCTTGGATAAATATTTTGCCTGTTAGTACAAGCTTTTAAATTTCTTTTATTATAGAATGCTAAAGTGCTTTGAGATACCTTTAACATTAATTGAATAAAATTATTTCTAATGTTTTATATGGCACTACAGAGAACTCATAAGAAGTTGAGAAATAAGAGAATAAAAGGCATTAGAGCAAGGTAATTACAATTCAAAGACAGATTTAATGCACTAAGTTTGGTGAAAGGACTCGCTGATTCTAGCTGGGCTCTCTCTCCTTCCCATACCTTTCCAGGATTCAAAGAAGGGACCATTCAATAATATTGTTAGTTATACTTCAACACGATGGATCACCAATGGGAGACTGCAAATGGATCCTGTTTGGAGCATAGATCTTGTTCTTTATTTACTGGCATTTTTATATTTGAGTCTGATTTTTTTTTCTGCATAAGTAGTAATCTACAGTAAAACTAAAAGTGGCTTTGCCTAGAGCAGAGGGCCAGACAGACAGCTGACTCTGGTTGTGCTCTCCTGAGCAGAACCCAGGTCTTTGTGCTCCAGGAGGAAATGATGGCTTGTGGATGTGTGAGTATAGTTTATCTTCACCGAAAACTGCATTCATGTTCACCTCACAATGCCATTGAAGAACACAGGTCTTGAGCTTTTATGTTTCTGTGTCATTTGAGATCAGATATGGGCTCCTCTGTTTTTGATTACCTTAAAAGGTACTAATGTGGTGAACAGCCTTGGGGGAGGAACACTGGTCCTCTCAAGATCCATGAGTGATTCTCTTTACTTCCAGAATAAGACAGATAACTGTCTACCTCTGGGGAATGGTTATCCATTCTTGTTGCACATCAGAATGTATTTGGAGCTACTGATCTGGCAGGGGAATATCATAATGGAGCAAGTGGTTTCCCTAGGGACAGGGTCATCCCCAGCATTATGGGTGTGCAGTCCCATGTGATTTACTCAAATGTGGGAAACTCAGCTGCATAATTTGAAGTAGTGGGAGACTGCATTTACACTTTCTCCTGCAAGCAAGAGAATAGATGAAATAAATGGAGGAAAGAAGAAAAGAAAGAAGGAAGAAAGGAAGGAAGGGAGGAAGGGAGGGAGGGAGGGAGAAGGAAAGAAAGGAAGGGAGGAAGGAACGAAGGGAGGGAGGAAGGAACGAAGGGAGGGAGGAAGGGAAAGATGAAAGTAAGGAGGAAGGAAGAAAGGAAGGGGGAGGAAGGAAGGGAGGGAGGAAGGAAGGGAGGAAAGAAGGAATGAAGGGAGGAAGGAATCTTGATCTTCAAAAATACTGGTAACCTTAGAAGCTTGCTTTTAATATGATATAAAAAGCAACCTCTCTTCTGTTCAGCTAATAGGGTCACCTGCATATCATGCTGTCTTCCTCATTCATAAGAAGTGTCAAGATGATAGAAAAAAAAACTGAAAAGAGCTATTGTGATGGAACAGGAAGGGTGGCTCTAAGACATGCAAAAGGAGGCTAAATTTCTAAACGGTTTAGAAAGTAGAATATTGACAAGTCTACAGACTAAAAGACAGAGAAGGCATCTTCAGAGAAGTCTATTCCAAATGCAAATGGGGTATTTGTCAGCAGAACTATGCAATAACTCTAGCATGAGAGTGAAAGTGTCAGGGGAACCAGTTTTGGATGTGGAAAATACTCAGGATGATTACTGAAAACATACACATGTTCTCCCTCCTCTCTCTCTTAGACTGGATTCCCAGAGTTCGGCCTGGTGCTTGGTTGTGGAGCTCTGCATGTGGTTCCACATATTACTGAATGAAAGCTCTTTGATGGTAGTTGGTGTATTCACCAATCTGATTATAGGGAAGCCTAGTTCAGGTACCTTCTCCACTGTTGCTAGGATAATTCTTGTGGATTCCTGGTAATTTCCTTAACACCAGGTTTCTCCCTAACCCCCATGGTGACTCTCTATCAAGGTATCTCTTTCCTTACTCTCTGTCTCTCTCTCTGTCCCTTTCCCCTTGACCATCCCATTCCCTAATATTCTTATCCCCCATCTCCTCCCCTTTACCTATCCCCTCACTCCCAGTTTACCCAGGAGATCTCATCTAATTTTCCATCCCAGCGCAATCCATGTGTCCTTTTCATGGTTCTCCATGTTACCTAGCTTCTGTGGAGCTGTGGATTGTAGTCTGGCTATCCTTTGCTTTACATCTAATATTCACTTATGAGTGAGTACACATGGTGATTATCTTTCTGAGTCTGGGTCACTTCACCACTTCACTCAGGTTTTTTTTTTTTTTTGTAGTTCCATCCATTTGCCTAAGTTGTTTCCAGGTACTGGCTATTATGAATAATGCTGCTATGAATATTGTTGAGCAAGTGTTCTTGTGGTATGATTGAGTATCCTTTGGGTATATGCTCAAAAGTAGTATAGTTGGGTCTTGAGGTAGATTGTTTCCAAGTTTTCCGAGAAACTGTCTTACATGAGCAAGCGAGTTCAATATCAGAGATAACTGAACCAAGCCCATAGAAACTCATGAACTTTGGGCTCTATGGTACTGGACTAGGTCCTCTGTATATACAAGACAGTTCTGGAATTTGGGCTATCTGAAGGCCCCTTGGCCACAGGACCAAGATCTATCACTGGTGCATGAGATAAATTGTTGGAGACTATTCCCTATGAGGGAATGCCATTTTTGGCCTTAGCACAGGGGGGCTTGTTCCTTCACCAGCTTAATATGCTAGACTTTGTTGACTCCTTATTGGTTCCCTTGCATATTGGGAGGAGTGGATGGGGATGGGCTGGGGGCTATGTGAAGCAGAAGGGAGGAAGGGTGGGAGGGTGAACTTTGGTTGGAATGTAAAATGAAATTTTAAATAAAAAAAGAAAGAAAGGATATCTATGAGTGCAACTATGATTATCCAAAATGTTTTCACCTCTGCAAGTATAGACCAAGAAGTAGAATGTGAACAAACTCAACTCACCTATGTGTGTGTATACACATGTGCCAACACACATACAAGTATTCATATATATCCCCACTACACACACACGGGGGAGGGGGAAGAAAAGAGAAATATAGAATTTAACATTCGGATTACATGTAGCATGGCTAAAGTAACAATGGAGAACAAAACAGAAGCTTTTGTACATTTGTGTGTGAGGACAACACATGGGGATTTAAAAAAATGTAACAAATATGTAGGCTTTTTTTTTTTTTTTGCTGAGGGGGGGCATTTCTCATTCAAACTATCACCGGGTTAGTCAGTTTTCTCTAGGGATGTTAACCCTGAAGTTCTACTATTGCTTAAGTATATGTCCATGTTCCCATGAGTATCTTGGCCTCACTAAGTGGTTGTAGTGGGTATTAAATTAGAGAGAAAAAGAGAGAGTACCAACAAATTGGTAGAGTAAAATAGGATAAGGGTGAAACTGGGAGGGAAAGGATGGGGGTGGATTGGGTTCAAACACTTTATATGAGTGTATAAATATTAAATAAAATATTTAAATCACCAAAGACAAATAAGTAAGATAATTTATTTTTAATGATCACGTAGCAAGGATGCCCAACATGGTTATCCTTTTGTATGTTTGAAGTATCTCCTTTGCTAGTCTGGAAAAAGACACAAAATGTTTGTGTTGTAAGTGTTGAAAATTCTAAATATTTGTTTCTTTCAGTCTTTTCTTCATCATGTGGTAACATGACTTAGGAAATTCATGCTATTGAGGTGTGGCCTCACTGGGGGGCACAGAGCTTGAGAGAGTAGAGCTTGGTCTCAGTTCACCTTCTCAGCTTCATTCTTGCACTTGAAGATGTGCTTAGCTTCTCCCTCCTGCCATCAGCCTATTGCTTGCTGCCATGTTTCCCCACTGTGATGGTTTCTCATCCCTCTAGAACCATAAGCAATATACTCTCTTCCATTTTTATCACTTATTTAATATATGCCCTCTTTCAATATAAGAGCAATACTTTCAATTAAAGAGCAACCCTCCTTCAATCTTAATATGAAAGTAATTCAAGTAAAACATGAGCTCATCACAAGAATGTGTTCCGTTTGAGTAAGAACCCTAACTCTTAGTCAGTATTGCTATATGGTGAAGGGTAGTGAAGATGCAATAATGCATACTCTACTTAATTTATGAATGAGAACACATAAATTATCATTTAGACATCTTTTTTCTTTCCATTTAATTTTCTCATTCCATGGTAAGTTAATTTGAGGCATTCAAGGAGTATATTTAAATTCACATTTTCAAGTTTCAAAATGTATAATTGAGCTTGACCTCTTTGCAATGACCAAGTCTGTAAGAAGCTATGGAATTGCATGCAATATTACAAATAATTTATGATGTCTAATGGTGGTAATATTCTTGCATTTATACTTGTGCAAGTGAGAAAAGAAGTAAAATAATTAACTGTGTTTATTACTTGTTTGGGGATTAATTAAGTATTAAAGTTCCAAGTTTGGTAAAGTTGGGTTGAAGTATAAAGGCTCTTGGACACCTTCCTGGGACAGAACACTTTGTTACAGGATGGTACATTCTATGGAATAATGAAAAGCTCCCAACATCTTGAAAACTCTTTGAAAATGCTTCTCTCTAGAGATTGTTAACTTCTGAAATAATGAAAATCTGCATCACAGTCTGCTCTTACCACTGGCAGCTTGAAGAGCAATTCACATTTAAATAGCTGTTCCCGAGTCTCGCCCTTTGGCAGCTGCATGATCCTGAAATGCTAGTGTACACCCAAGAACCAGCCTGACATTAAAGCATCATGACAATAATGCACTTTGAATGCTATGCCTGAGTTTGCTTTATTCAAATGTTGTCAGTTATTATGTGAACTAGCTAAAAATATTGCAGAAGATGGTAGTTAGTACATGGCTCCTTTAAGATGTGTCATTTCCCAATTTTTTTTTTACCACAACACCCATTTCCCAGTTTATAAAAGGCTATGAATACTATTCCAGTTTTATATTGAATAAAACATGTAACATGTTGTTTTCTAAACCATTTTAACCTTGACCTGCTAGAATTGTAAGACTTTGTTTTGAAGTTATAATTGTTTTGCATTGGGTTGGATTATTTACATGTTTAAGTTCATAGGGAACCTACAAAGGTATATCCTACATGCAATATATTGGACAGCAGTATGAAATAAATTACATTTATTACTTGAAATATAAGAGATCAGTTTTGATAAGTTAATAATCAAAGGAGTGCTAGCAACATCTTGTAGCTTAACCTGTACTAATTGACTGGGTTTTGATTAATTGACTATAAGGATCATTAAAAATTTTATTTTTATTATTTATTTTATGTATTTTTACTAAATTTAAAACAAATTTAAATTTAAGTATATCTTAATCATATTTTTACCCTACCCCAAATTCTTCCAGATCCTCACCTCTTCCTCCCTACCCACCCAACTTTTCTTTCTCAAAAAGGCAAATCAAAAACCCAACACAACATACATGATTACCTAAAAAGAAAGAGAAAAACACTGAACTGTAACCAAATAAAAGCATGTACGCAGACACATACGAACCGCAAACACCACCACCTCGATCTCTACCACCACTGCCACCAAACAACAACAAATTGAAGCAAGCAAACAAACAAACAAACCAAAAAAATACCTGTGGAGTACAATATTTGTTAGTCAACTACTCCTGAACATGACATCTGCCCTGAAGTAGTAATAAAAATCATTCTTTGGCTATTTCATTTCCTGAAATTCAACAGCTGTTTAGAGCCCCCCAAAAAAAGAATAATAAAGATTTGAACTTGTGTCTTCACCAAGTTGTAAGTTCTTTTAAGTTTCCCCTTTGGATCTCATAAAAGTGAAGAACTGAAGAAGAAAAATCATCCTTGGTTTTAAACTCATGCTGATCCTAGTGTTCCTCTTGTCTCCCTTTAAGTATATCCAGGATGCAAGCACTTTGCCACAGATTCTTCTTCCAATTCTACCTGTATCAACCTTGTTGCCAGTTCTTTTGATTTTGCTAGACTCTTATTATTTCCACGCTAGATGCATTGCTGGTTTGACATTC